CCAAAGGCTTTGCCATCCTGTCTGTGACACTGGAAGCTTCTTTTCAACCTGCTAACGTGGATCTCTGGAGTATTTCTACCACATTTCTGCCTGAGACTTCCCAGAAGGGAAAAAAATAAGTCCACATGTGGTGGCTAGCACGTACGCAGAACGCCTGAAGCTTGTGGAAGCGCAGATTTATTGCACGGCGCGGAGAGGTGACGCAGCACGTGTACCGTGGGCCTGCTGGCCAGGGTGTCCCTGCACGTCGGACCTGCCACACAGCCACCACGGGTCCCAGGCTCTGCTCTGCTCACAAAGTCTGCTGCTTTTGGGCTGCATATGAATGTGTGAATCACAGATGTAGCTCCTGGGCTGCAGAGCCTGTCTGAAGCTTTTAGCATTTACTGTGTCCTATGCTGAGTAGGCATATGTGATGGAGGCAGCTGGGGAACACAGATAACTTGAGGCTGTGAGGTGTATGTATATTATGACTAATTACCATGCATAACTTTACTGATACCAAGACTAAGAAAGGAGTAACAGGAAAAAATACAGCGAATCTGCATTTTCTTTCCTATACAAAATAACACTTTTCTTTTTAGCTTTTATTCTTGTTGGGATTTGATTTTTTTGGACATTCTTTTAAAAGCTTCTAATATGTTTAGCATTAGGTAGAAAAGTACACTTTAAGTGCACTTTAAGTGTACTTTTGGTGTACTTTTTCTGTACGCTTTTTTGCGTACGCTTTTCTACTTACACTTTATGTATACTTTTCTGACTGATACGCTGTCTTTCTGACTGATATGCTGCCTTTCAGACTCAGATACAAAGGATTTGCAAGCATTTGAGAGTTTAATAGACCTCCCAATGAGATTATAAGAAGATTTTCAAAGGGCTGTTCTACACTCACAGTATTTCTTCTCTCCAGAAATGATAAAAGTAAAACATGTCCTGTTTCCAGAAAACTTTGATGGCTTTCATGATGTTTTCCTAAAAATATCTATTTCCTTTGTATTACTTAAGAGTGTAACTCCCCCATATGGCTGAAACTACAGCTGCTACAAATAGCTTAAAAATGAGGAAATGGAGAAATTTCTATTTCTATTTGGACTGCTTATTTGCACACCTCGGTAAGAATATTACTACATCATGATTGTAAGATCTGGCTGTCCATTCTTTGGCGACAGAGCAGATTTCAAAGGAGCGTCTTGGTTTTGAGGTTTAGGCACGTATTTACGTGAAAGTGCTAAACTTACCCACATCACGCAGCTAGGCTGGCTATCTTTTCCTCATTTCCCTGAAGAAGTGTGAGAGTATGCGTCAGTGATCATCACAAAGATGTGTACAGACCACAGTATTTAAAGGTTTCTATTATGATATGGGTGTGTAGATTTCCAGTGGATTTTACGGCTGCATTTACCCTCTGTGTGATGGTAAATCTTCAGAGCTCTGGGGATGTTTGAAGATATTGCAGAAGTTTATATAGGCATCCGTATGGCCCTAAACTGGACAGCAGATATCCATAAAGAGATTTAGAGCATGGCAGAGCCCTGCACGATGCTTAAAATCTGGGAAACAGTAATGGGAACAGAGCCGTTATTCATAAAATGAGAATTTTATCTGGTCTTGCTGCTTCTATATTTTTAAAAATAGCACAAACCCAAGAGGCATAGGCGCTAGCAGCAATAACAACAGCAATGGTGATGTAAACTAATGCTCATAGAAATCTTTGAGAATGCACCAAAAATTCAAAGCACGGGAAAGCACTCAGGGATGAACCCTGATCAAGAATTTCTGCCACTTTTACCAAGGCAGGCTGGGGTAACACGCTTACCATCACACAGCAGTTCTCAAGTGCAACCTCTTACAGTCCCCACTGATGAAGAAAGAATACATTTCTAACTTAATCCAGACTGCCACATGGTAAAGCCATCTGGGAGGATATTTTGAAGGAAACAGATGGAAAAGGAAGAGATTCCTCTGAATGTAGTGTAAGATTTACATTATCCTCCATGAACTTCCATGTAGTCCCCATGTTTATATTATTTATCACTATTTCCTTAGACAGCTCAGATTAGGAAGCCTGCATGAGCTCATGTTCTTGTTGTTAATTCTGAGTCTGAACCTCCCTCCTTTAAAGGGAAATTCAGTAGTGTAAAAAGAAAACGGAGGAAGGCAACTGGACTTAAGTGAAACCCAGCAGCATGAAGTTCCTGATTGTCCCAGGAATTACACTGTTTTACCTCCTCCTTCTTTCAGCCTCAGGAAGACACTGTCACGAGCGCTTGCTCACAGCTATCATTTTTGTTCTCTGCCATGCACCCACACCCGGCAAAACCGCAATGTTGTGCTAGCATAAGCGTGGGAGCGAGGCCTGTTAAAACCAGGAAGGGTTAAAGACAAGTCAGTGATTTCACTGAACATCCTCAGGCCAAGGATTAAAAAAAAGAAACGTTCTCTGAGTGAAGACATGGCACACAAATAATTTAAAGAGTGCAATTTCACTAGTTGTGTTGTGGTGACTGGGGATTTCTAAAAAGCCCTCTCTCTCCTTTCATGCATTCTTCTGTGCCTCCTCGTTTTCCATACAAACATTTCCATTACTAATGCGAATGTCAAAGGGCCTCCTTCTCTCTCTCTCTCTGTCTCTGACCATGGGGATGCTGCCGAGGCACCGTGCAGCGGCGGCTGCGTTCGGCTGGCTGAAACACCCTACGGCATCCCCACCAGGATCACTGCTTCAGGAAGGGAGGGAGGGGAAGACCCGTACAGAGAACCCTGGTGCTTCGGTTCAAACGCCTACATCACTTCGCCATCAATTAAATCCGTCGTTACTTTGTTCTGCTACCAAAAGACGGAGTCCCAGGTCCCCTCTTTGTCCTCCCACAGCCCAGCCCAGCCTCGGTCCCAGCCATTTCTCCCTCCCTCGCGCTGGGGCTCGCACTAGATTGCTGTTCAAACAAAACACTCGCCCGGGGAGATCGGAGACCTAGCGGCACCGCACGTGCCATCGGCAGCAACGGCTTCTGCCAGGCTGGGCTGCGGGCAGAGCCACCGGCTCCAGAGCCCTTCATCCTGCTGACTCCGGCAGGGATGAGCTCTGCTGCGTACCGGAGGAAACCGCAACACGAACAGCCTCCTCCCGGGATTCTCGGCTTCCTGGATTTGGCCTCCTTTTGCACAGCAGGGTTTAAGCCTCCCTGCCTCTCAGGTGCCACGGAGGGGATGGCTGGCTTTCTGCCCGCCGGCAGATTTACTACTATGTTGTAGTAGGAATCGCCTGATGGCAGCCCTAACAGTCGGAGGATGTAAGTGAGACCAGGGAGAGGAAATATCTTTTATTAGAACAACTTGGTGTGTTTTGAATTGTGTGGTGTAGTCAGAAGGTTATAGATGGTAAGTCCTCAGGGACTGATGTTGTGTTTCTTGCATAAGCTGGCCTAATAAAAGACACTACCTCTCCTTGCAGAACTGACCTCACTTGAAAATACTACTACATTCATCCTGTATGTTATCTCCGCCATTTGGAAACATTAATATTACTTCCAGTGCCACGGACTCATCGTTGCTGCGACTGTATTGATTTCTTTTGTAGAAACTGGATTCCTGCACATGCTTTGGAGAGTTACATCATTTCACCCCTTCAACTCACAGCTAGGATGTTTTCTGTTTCTTACGTAACAGCTCCTAATTCAGATTACAGTAGATATTACAACAACGTACCCTGTACAATAATGTATTAAAACCATAAGGTGGAAAAACAAAAGTATTATTGCTTTCTGAAAGCAGACCTCTTTCCAGAAAAGCAATGGACCGTTTATGCTCTTGACTCAGCAATCATTCATATTCATGGCGGTACAGCAGCACAGCCCATGGACTCTGCTGAGCAGGGATGGACCTGCTCCCATGCCCACAGGCTCTTCTCTGCTGATGCATATGTAACAAAGCGTCAGAGTTAGGGTTTGGGTTTTTTTAACACAGGGCAGGCTGGGGAAAGAAAATGGAGGCAATCGTGAAGGCAGCGTTTGACCAGTTTCATGACACCTTGCGGCTTGCACTTTATCCAAGGTGTTAAAGAAGAATAATACCATCCAACAGAAGAAGTTCAAACGTGTTAGTCTCTATGACGGATCCAGTCCAGTTACCAAGTTCGGCCTATTTTATTTTGTGGATTTAGAGGCTCCTTTAGACCAGTGGGGAGAAGGGTTTTATACCTGTGCCCCCTCCTTGCTGTAAGCAGTCCCCAGTTACCCACGTTCAGGATGCACAGAGATACCCATCTGTCCTGGGTTCAGCTGGGATAGAGTTAATTTTTTACAGGAACCTGGGAGGTGGGGGGCATAGCCGGGGCAGCTGACCTGAACTGGCCAAGGAGCTATTCCATACCATGTGCCATCATGCTCAGTATATAAATGGGGAGCGGGCTGGGGGGTGGTCTCGACTTTTCGGTGGGGGAAGTGGCGGAGCGTCGGGTCCCGGGTGGTGAGCAGTTGCACTGTGCATCACTCTTTTTGTATACTTTTTCATTAGTACCGTTGTTGTTGTTGCAATTTCTTTGTGTTGTTCCAGTAAACTGCCTTTATCTCAACCCTCGAGGTTCCAGATTTGTTTTTTTTCCTCTCCCCCGTCTTCCCCCCCATCCCACCGGAGGGGGGCGGGAGGAGTGAGCGAGCGGCCGCGTGGTCCTTTGTTACCGGCTGGGCTGAAACCACGACACCATCACACGCCGGACTCGCACCACGTGTGTGTGTGTGCGTGTGCCTGCTTTATCATCACAAGGCGGCTGCTGCAGAAGGAGGACTTTTCTGAGCAAGCACCATCCACTGCTTCCTCCTCTCCTTCCCAAGGGCCACCATGTGAATTGTTCTGGTGGTTGTGCCTAGCAAGCCAACAGCTGTCCCCCAGCTCATAGGATTGATGTATTTCTCTTCGTTCTTTACAGTAAAGGAGACCAGTTTAAATACTGAAGAATTATTTCATTTAAAGCAGTCTAAGGAATTTAAATTAGCTTTTCTTACCTGAGCAGGCTTCTTCTGAACCACTTGTTGAGGCTGAAAAGTAAAACAAAAGTATGGTGAGAAACAAAATTCACTGAGGTCACTTAACTGTGATTTCACAGATGCTGAGAAAAATGTTTTCAGCAATAGAAATAAAACACAGGCAAACCCCACATTCAGAAATGGAGTGATGAACATACCCAGCTCTCACACCTAGCCTGTCTACGACCTTGCTCTGAAGTAGTTCAGATTACTGTGGATGCAGAGGAGTACGTTAAGCTTGTATAATTAAAATGCAGGTGAAATCTAATTTAGCATGTTACATCTTTCAGCTCTTCTATCATACTGCTAGATTTACTTTGCTGCATTACTGATCAGACCGTGAGAGTGGCCTAATTTTATAACTAGGTTTTGTTGCCTCCACTGATGCTGTTCACTCTCTTACCGCACTCTTTCAGCCGTGAGTGGAGTGCCGTGCTGTGGGGAAATTCTTCCTCCTGGCCACGAGCAGGAGCACAGCTCGGGCAGAGGGGTAAGGGACACATAACCCCATTCCCAGCCAGGGCTTCCCACTTGACCAAAGCCATCCCTGCCAAAGTCGGGAGGCTGGGACGGGCAGCTGCTCCAGCCCTCGGAAGCTCTGGTTTGAGATCTCTAGCTGCACGAAGGTGATGCTGTGCTGACCCTCGTGAGCCTGTTGACGTGATTTTGGGGATGCCCGTCACCGGGCAGGGTGGGTGTGTGGGCAGGGAGAGCCGGAGGCTGTGTCCGCCTGCCTACGCAGGACCTGGTAGCACAGCCGTGGGCTCCTCAGTAAGTCTGCCTCCCGGCTGCTCCCACCCGGGGACGGGAAACACAGTCCCCACAGGAGTCAGGAGACCCACTAGGGTGCCGGTGCCCTTCCTCCCCACCCTGGGGAGGAAGAGGACTACCGATCAAGGAACTAATAGAGGCGCACTTAAAATACACCACCACTGCCCAGATGATGTGACGACCCTTGTGGGTGCTAGGAGCAGCACGGAACAATAAGACCACAGATAAAGGATGAAATCCTGACACTGAGAGCACAAAAGGGCTTTTCTTACTTCAGTGGGGCAAAGCTGCTGCCTTCCCCCCCCCCAGGACTTTCTGTTTTCAAAGTATATGAATCGCACCCAATGATTTTCTTCCTGCCCTTCCTTCCTGCCTGTTCCTAATCCCAGCCGTGATTTTAGTGCCTCGCTTGGGCAGAAGCCAACATGCTGTCCCTCTGCATGGCCAAAAACCTCATTTTCATGACAGTGTAGTAGGAAATAACTGGAATATTTCTGAATAAACAGTTTAGTGTAGCTGGCCTTTCAGAGCAATATTTCAGTGGGAAGGATCAATGAAAATGTAAATTAAATGTAACTGATTCAATTCAGACTGCCCACCACAAGCGTCCCATTTTAACAAGAGATGCTTTGTTTATTTTCAGTCTTTTTCTAATTCAGCGGAATCCTACTGCTGCTATATTTTTCTATCTGTGCCTCAGGCTCCACGTTCTGCTCTCAAATACATATGAGAAAAAAACTATGTGATGACTGGGTCCGTCTTTAATGTTCAGGTTGGACCCTTTTCTTTTCCATTAAATTCCCTTGCAATGGAGAAGCTATTACCAAGGCACACATTTTACTGATGCCTTCTCCAGGTGGACTGCAAGCGCTGAACTCATTAATGGACATTTGCTGCCCTCGGACAAAGGAATGATTTGTTTCAAAGGAATCCCTCATAATTACAGAACTCATTGAGCTCTTCGGTAATCTGCCACTAGTGCTTTTCCGCTTTAATTTCTTTTTTTGCCTGCTGATTACACCTGTACACATGTTTACTCCCAAACCACATGAAGTCCACAGACATTCTTAGAGGCTGACTGTTTTCTCCTGCTCAGAAATCCCCACATATATTTTTGGCTGTGCACTCTGCATTCATGTGACTCTCACACACTGTAGCTCAATGAAATCTTCTGAAAGAGCTGCCAACTCACCAAATTTTCCATGAATTAGGTCCTGACACTTCAATGAGAGGAAAGACAATGTCTGAAACAAGGCCAGCTCTGGCTTTCTGCCTAGTATGTGTCACAGTAATTCTACCAGCTGCCCTTCTACACAGCACTTCATACTTTTCAGACCACCAAAAAGCCCCTTGAATACTTTCAGTGATAGCTGGGGCTCAAACTGCCAGCGTGTTTTCCCAGCCTCTGGCACCCAGTGGCTCCGACTGGACCTAGAAAGTTTTTTGTGTGTGTTTGTTTTGTTTTGTTGTTATTTTTATGAATGGCTTTCGCAGAGGACTCAGACTCCAGCACAATCCTATCCAGCCATTCATAAAAAGCAGAGGGAAAATATTGTACTTTGCCCAGTTGGAAACTGCCTCTGATACTGACCAAGGCTTTCAAAAATCTCAGTCATTCAAGACCTTTGCTATCGTAGTGCTTCCTATCGAGAGCTCCCTGGCAGGGCTTGCTCACTGCCGGCTAGGTTTCCACTGGATGTGGGATCTGGAGTTGAGCGCATGTTACGCTTTCTCCCTTAAACAGAAGCAGCACAGCTACGAAAGCTCAAAAACAGGGCTCGGCCCCTCCGCCGGTATTGAGGGCACGTACCACCGACGTGCGGGGAGCCATGCCCGCTCGTGCCAGGCTGAGGGCTCCGGCTTGTGGCCGCTCAATCGCTGCAAGTGCTGGTTTTCAGGGACATTGCTTCTCCTGCTTCAGCCTGGCTGAGTGCAGGAGCTGTCTGCACGAATGCGGGCTGGACAAATCCAGCAAGGTCCAGCCCTGCGAGGATTGCAGCGCCCGCTCGCTTAGGTCACCCCAGAGCAGACGAACTGCAGCGGACAGGAATAATGAGAAATTTCCCAAGCACCCCCTTTCATTTCTTTAACTGTTGTGGATGTGATGCCTTTGGAAACTTTTTGACACGCTATAGATACAAACGCCTCAACTCGCCAAGCTTTGTGTTCGCTCAGTTAAGAGACCTTTTCAGGGCTTCAAAGGAGACACCTCCGATTCAAGAGAGTGTTGCGACTGCATGTTCAACTAGCTGGAAAGAAAGAGAATCTGTCTCGGTTATGGAAAAGCCTGGAACCATAAAAAAGCCAAGGACAAGAGACTTTAAAGAGGTGCTTTGGAGCAAAATAGAGTTGTAGGCAAGACACAAGAGCTCTGAACTCCTGTGCATCCCCCCAGGGGCGTGCAGAGTGAGATGGCAGACCTTCTGCTCTGCCAGAGGCTCTCACTTCTGTCAGTGATCATAGGTAAGGGGAGCTTCGTGCAACACAGGACTTTCTTTTTATCCCAAGTTTAAAAAACAGCTATTGTACACTGAATGTGTATCAGCTGAAATTCCACACACTTGAAAGCAAAATTCAGGGGGGTTTTTTACATCATATGCAAGTACAGGTCAACCTTAAGTAGCTTTCTTAGATCTGTATGAGACAGAAAAACACAAATGACAGTGTTGGAAAAATCCTACGACCATGTCATTTAAATGTCTGTCATACAAGAACAAATCCAAAATACAGCAGAATTGCTTTTGCCATGTTTAAACTATTAAGTATGTGAACTGAGACGAAAGATAGTAATTTAAAACTTCAGGATAAGATTCCTAACTTTGAACAGAAAAAAAAATAAACCACCTAAAGAGGAAAGTACACAATTTTTTTGGTGGTTTTATCTTTGCTCTAAGTTTTTCACGTTCAAAGCCCAACTGTTTATCTCCTACAAGACACTTCTTCCACTCCTCCTCTGTCACCACACCCCTCATTTTATTTTATTTTCAAATTCTGTTACTTTACTCTTTGTCAGTATCTTAGATGCATCCCTATAGCCTATGCAGTCACTGGCCAAACAATTTCTTTGCCTTCTATATGAGAACAAAAGAGCAGCCTCATGTGATGAGTTCATATTCATCTTGTACCAGGGGTCAAAAGTTGCATCAAATTCAATTTGTCACACTTCTCATTCGCTGGCGTACTTCTTCTTATCCTGTGACTTTTCATAGCGTTATAAAAATAAGGAAGGATAAGGGTAAGTCTATGTCAACTAGTATGAGCAGTGCTGGAACACATTTTTAATGATCAGAGATAAAAGCACTGGTCTGAATGCAAATCATCCCCTGACTGCTGTGCCTGAAGCTCCAAGGGCAAGCTGCACTCACAGTGCTCCTAGGTTTTGTGTTCGCGTCTTCCTCCTCAAACTGAGTATTATGAAGATGTTTGACGGATGCTTCTTGGCAACAGCGACTCTCTGTTTTACTCCCACAGCTTGATACAGACGAGACATGTGCATGGAGGTAGCTCCGCTGGTGACACTAAATGACCATGATGGAAACTAACACCCAGTTAGGATGACATTTATAGTGCTGACAGCTCAGTGTTGTGCGGAGATCATTAAAACAATTTCACAGGTCACCCAAACACTTGTAGTTCTAAATTAAAAGATGAGTAAAACCATATTTACTATTTTTGTCCACATATCCTCGAAAAATCAGGAAGTTCATATTATACCAGTTGAAACCAATATAATACAAAATAAATCACGTCTTCCAAGCAGTTCCATATGACAGCGGAGTAACTACTGTTCTGCCCTACAGCTTTAATCGGTTCGAGTCCAGCCTCTCCCTCCCTCTCCCCGCACAGAGTGGCAGATACAGCACGGGGACCTGCGAGAGAGCCCTCGCCTCTGGGAAAAAGCGACTTCCAGCTGTGTGACCGTCAGCAGGGATCCAGCCCAGGCTGCCGGGGACGGTGCGCCCGCTATTCGCTCCTCCGACCCAGGTACGCTCACGGCTTGCTTTGGAAACGCTCTTCCTCTCGAGGGGGTAGCAGAAATGCTTTTTGAAGGCATCAATAGCAAGGGGGGGGATGCCCCCTCCGCCCAGGCAGGACTGGCTTGTGTTTTGGAAGCACAGGTCATGAATTCTCCTGCCTCCGGCGCATGTTTGCAGTCAACTGGCAACCGTGGTGTCTGTGTACGCACACTGCTGTGGGTCATTAGGATCTAACAGCAAAACCATCTGGCCCTTAGAGTTCAA